AATCGCCTTGTAGTGCCTTCGGGTCACATAGTCTTAAATGCTGAGGTTAAAAAATATATAAAAATGTATATTTTTAAACTAGTAATACATGTACTTAGTACAAAATTCAAAAAGTACAAAAGGATATTAACGAAAAGTTTATCTCCCACCTCTGCCTCAGAGTGAACCAGGCAACTACTATCATCAGAAATATTTTATGAAATGCTTTACTTTTATTGCAAAACAAAGACCCTTCTCTTCTCCCTCAAGGCTGCCTCTGTGTGCGTCCTAATGGTAGGACATGTGACTCTAAATTGCAGAGCGGTTTCCATAGCTATCAGAATGTAAGGTCCATTACATTTATTTCTAGTGTTCTTTTTGTAAATCAACATTAGATGCTTTCCCTGCAAAAACGTTTCAAAAGTTGTCCTGCAAAAAAAATTGTGTCCACTTTACAGGATTCTCACCACCTTAGCAAAAGAAAAGTGGATTCTGGTTTGAGCTGAGTGTCTAAAGCAGAGGCTGTTGTAAAATTTGGTTTTCTTTTACTTTTTACTTTTTTGGATAGGTAATACAAGCACTTGAAAAAATTTAAAGAGCAGGATATACAGTGAAAGCTTCTCTCTAACCCCATCCTGAGTCACCCTGCTCCCTCCCAGAGGCACCATTTTTACCACATTCTTATGAATCCTTCCAAAAATACTTAAGGCATATATACAAGCAAATTCACACACACACACACCCAACATACAGTGAAACCTGTGAGAGCTGGGATTCAACAGGACTGGCTTGTTTTTCCGGGTCTCGCAAGTTTTCCACCTTTGACATGGTCTAACCACTTTTCTGTCACTCTCTATTAGTGGAAAATATTTGAGTTTTCCTTCTCTGACAAGTTTCTGCCTCACACAGGTTTCAGCTTTCATAGGTTTTACGGTATTACATTATATGTAAATTTTTCTTTTCCTCTGGGGACAGCTGGTTTTTTCGCAGGAAGGGAGCAGTGGGGAGTATCTTCAGGACGGCTGAACTTTGCAGTGCCTTCAGTAAACAATTTCCCACTCTGTAATTTGCCTTCTTTTCTTCCCCTGATCTTCCAGAACTGGCATGAGGCTCATACTTCTGTGGAGTTCAGAGTTCTGTGAGGTAGAGCATTCCTTTTAACAGGATCTAGAACTCCTCGGGTTGTAGAATTCTAATGACTAAGCTTGGAAGTCCCAAGAAGCCAGAGCTGGTTGGAGCTTGGCTCAAAATTCCAAGGGAGCTCAGAACTCTACAGAGTCAAGAGTTCCATGTGGGTGAGACTCCAACGTCTTTGAAGCCTAGGGTTCCCAGCTCAGGAACATCTGGGATACTGTGGCTAAAAGGCAGAAAGTTTTTCATGGCTTGAAAGTGTATGCAGTAATGTCACTACATCAGAGCAGCACCTCAGCCTGTACACCTACTGGAGTCTGCAGCTGCGACACATAGAAGCTGGCCACATCCAGGTTGGTGGCTCCAAAG